CACCTGGCCATGTTCACCCGTCGGCCAGGGTCGAGTCTGTACACACTGACTACTGTGCCTTCTCAGGTAGCTGCGTCTGCGTCTGCGTCAGGTTAGCTAGCGGCCCCCTGCTCGTGTTGCGCCATGTCGCACCAGATGCTCCTCTGGCACCACCGCCTTGGTCACCCCTCCGTGGCACGCCTCCGTGGCATGCACTCCCGTCTCCTTGTCTCTGGTCTTCCGAGGTCTCTGCCTCCCCTCCCACCCTCGCCTGCCCCTCCCTGCCTTCCCTGTGTCGAGGGGCAGCAGCGCGCCGCTCCTCACCCCTCCTCGTTCCCCCTGACGACTGCTCCCCTGCAGACTCTCCACCTGGACGTGTGGGGCCCAGCCCGCGTCCGTGGAGAGGGCCACGAGCGGTACTTTCTGCTGGTTGTCGACGACTACACGCATTACACCACGGTCTTCCCCTTGCGCCGCAAGGGGGAGGTCCCTGATGTTTTGATCCCTTGGATCTGCGCTGTTCGTCTCCAGCTCCGCGAGCGGCTCGAGACGGACCTTCCCGTCCTGCGTCTGCACTCTGACAGAGGTGGTGAGTTTTCCTCCGACCTCTTGCGGGAATTTTGTCGTGGGGAGGGCATTCGCCAGACGTTCACGCTTCCGGCCTCTCCGCAGCAGAATGGGGTTGCTGAGCGCCGCATTGGCTTAGTCATGGAGGTCGCTCGTACCTCCATGATCCATGCGGTTGCCCCCCATTTTCTGTGGCCGTTTGCAGTCCAGTACGCTGCGCATCAGCTCAACCTCTGGCCCCGTGTCTCCTTGCCGGAGACCTCGCCCACACTGCGTTGGACGGGGGAGGTTGGCGATGTGTCGGTGTTCCGGGTCTAGGGATGTTGAGCCTTTGTCTACAATACGTCCGCGGACAAGCTCTCCTCCCGTGCCGTTCCCTGTGTCTTCCTTGGCTTTGTCCCTGACGCGCCTGGCTGGCAGTTTTACCACCCCACCTCGCGCAGTGTCCTGCCCTCTCAGGACGTCACGTTTGATGAGTCGGTTCCCTTTTACCGTCTCTTCCCCTACCGCACTGCCCCTCTCCCTCCCCTGCCGCTCTTCCTCGCACCAGGTCCTCCTCCGGTAGACCCCCTCCCCCCTCAGGGTCCTGCTCCCTCAGGTGTGTCCCAGGTAGACCCTGTCGAGCCTGTCGAGGTAGCTGTCGACTCTGGTGCTGCTAGGGGTACTGCGTCTGGGGGTGCTAAGCTTGGGTTTGCTGAGTCTAAGGGTGCGGAGCCTGGGGGTGCTGAGCCTGAGCGTGCGGAGCCTGGGGGTGCTGAGCCTGAGCGTGCGGAGCCTGGGGGTGCTGAGCCTGAGCGTGCGGAGCCTGGGGGTGCTGAGCCTGAGCGTGCTGAGCCTGGGGGTGCTGAGCCTGAGCGTGCTGCGCCTGGAGGTACTTTGTCTTCTGGAGGTCCTCCGGGTGTCTTGTCACGGCGGGGACACTCTCTCCACCGCAGCCTCGCGAGTGGTTTGCTCAGCGCTGGAGACTTCAGAGTGGCACTGCTGGAGCCGGTGGTGCTGCTGGTGCTCGAGGTGCTGCTGGAGCTGGTGCTACTGGAGGTGCTAGCGCCGCTGGTCCCGGAGGTGCTCGTACTGGAGGTACTGGAGCTGCTGGAGCTGGAGGTGCTGCTGGAGCTGGAGCTGCTCGAGGTGCTAGCGCCGCTGGTCCAGGAGGTGCTCGTACTGGAGGTGCTGGCGCCGCTGGTCCAGGAGGTGCTCGTACTGGAGGTACTGGTGCTACTGGAGCTGGAGGTGCTGCTGGAGCTGGTGCTGCTGGAGGTGCTGGCGCCGTTGGTCCCGGAGGTGCTCGTACTGGAGGTACTGGAGCTGCTGGAGCTGGAGGTGCTGCTGGAGCTGGAGCTGTTGGAGGTGCTGGAGCCGCTGGTCCCGGAGGTGCTCGTACTGGAGGTACCGGAGCTGCTGGAGCTGGGGGTGCTGCTGGAGCTGGAGCTGCTGGAGCCGCTGATCCCGGAGGTTCTCATACTAGAGGTACTGGAGCTGCTGGAGCCGCTGATCCTGGAGGTGCTCATACTGGAGGTACTGGAGCTGCTGGAGCCGCTGATCCCGGAGGTGCTCATACTGGAGGTACTGGAGCTGGGAGTGCTACTGGAGCTGGAGCCGGAGGTGCTGCTGGAGCTGGAGCTGCTGGAGCTGGCGGTGCTGCAGGAGGTACAGCTGGAGCCGCTGGAGCTGGAGCTGGTGGAGGTGCTGGGCCTGGGGGTGCTGGTGCTGTGGGTGCTGGTTCTGGAGGTACTGTGCGGCCGCGACCGTACTTCTTTCCTCTGCTTCAACAGGTACTTGGTCTCCCTCCTTCTACTGGCCTTACTCATCCCTTACTGTGTCCACCGCCTGACCAGTCCCAGCCGCAGTTACAGCCAGCCTCCCCGCTGCCTGCTCCGTCTCCTTTCACTGAGCAGCCCGGAGGTCTTACAGAGCGTCGTGAGGCTGCGTCTCGTCCTGCGTCGCCTGTTCGCGCTGTTCGCGCTGGTCGTCGTGTTCCGCGCCAGCGTCCTCCTCCTGTCCCCGGCACACACCAGATGGCACTTCGTCCTTTCTCTGTTCCACTGCGTGTCCCTCTGCCGTCTCCTCCTGCGTCCTCCCTTGCTGACGGTCTGGACCCGGAGTCTGACTCCCTTCGTGCTGCTAGTCCTACTGTCACGCGTCTACTGGCCACTGTTGTCACTGACCCTTCGTTTGAGTCTACTGCTGCGTCTGCTCTTGTTGCTGAGCTGGTAGACTTTGCTGCTCGCTGTCGTCTTGACTACGCCGCTAGTCTTGTTGCTGAGTCTGAGTTTGTCTGTCCTCCGTCCATCGGGGGTGAGTGTGCTCTTGGCACGGACGTTCTTGAGGACAGTCAGGAGGACTTTGAGTGCTTTGCAGCTGCTGTACCTCATCTCGTGTCCATGCTGATTGCACCTGAGGGAGACCCGGATGCACCAGACATCCCAACCCTGCGCTCTTACGCAGAGGCGATAGAGGGTCCCTACTCCTCTCAGTGGCAGTCAGCCATGGACGCAGAGATGGCATCCTGGAAGTCCACAGGCACTTACGTCGACGAGGTTCCCCCACCTGGGGCGAACATCTTCAGTGGCCTGTGGATTTTCAGGGTGAAGCGGCCGTCGGGTTCTCCGCCTGTCTTCAAGGCGCGTTACGTTGCACGAGGCTTCAGTCAGCGACAGGGAGTTGACTTCTTCCAGACCTTCTCCCCTACCCCGAAGATGACCACTCTTCGGGTTCTGCTGCACGTCGCCGCTCAGCGTGACTACGAGCTTCACTCTCTTGACTTCAGCAGTGCTTTCCTAAAGGGCAGCCTGTATCCAGAGCTTGTGGGCTGCCTCATGTACCTGATGTTCTGCACTCGACCTGACCTTGCTTACCCTCTTAGCATCCTGGCACGCTACGTTGCCCTCGGGAGACACCGACCAGAGCACTGGAAGGCCGCTAAGAGGGTGATTTGCTACTTGTGCAGTACGTCGGGCATGGGGCTCGTGCTTGGAGGACGGGGTCCAGTTGTCCTCACTGGTCACGCAGACGCTTCTTGGGTTGACGACTTGGCTACGCAGCGGTCGTCACAGGGTTACACCTTCTGCCTTGGCTCCGGCTCGGTTTCGTGGCGGTCTACTCGGTCGTCTTCTGTTCTCAGCTCAAACTGTGAGGCTGAGATCTACGCAGGGGCCATGGCTGCACAGGAGTTACGCTGGCTCACCTACCTGCTGACCGACTTGGGAGAGGCGCCTCATTCTCCTCCAGTTCTGTACATCGACAACAAGGCCATGATTGCCTTGTGTCAGGAGCACATACTTGAGCACAGAACGAAGCACATAGCTCTGCGCTACTTCCTTGCTCGAGAGTTGCAGCAGCGTGGTCAGCTTCGTCTTGTTTACGTGGCCTCTCAGACCAGCACTGCTGATATCTTCACCAAGGCACTTCACCCTTGTGATCATCGGCGTTTCTGTACTGTTCTAGGCCTTGTGCCTACTTGGCCTCACTTGCTCACTTCTTGACTCTGCTTGTACTGTGATCTATATACTTATACCTGCATGCTTACACTTGCTAGGTTGTGATCACTGTACTGCTTGTTCTCCTTTCTATATAACTCTGCATGTGAACTGGCCTTGTGGCCTTTTGCTTGTGCTCAGAATGCGTGGTGACTTCGTGATCCACCCTGAGCTTGCTTTGCCTTTCTTGACTGGTCTTGTGACCTATGGGGGTGTGTCAAACTTATATGTTGCTTATTGTGTAGGCTGTAGTGGGGTAGCCCACATGGGGTACAGCCCAATTAGGATTTTTTACTTGTACCCATCCTGCTGCTAGTTCATTCATTCCTCGTTCATGATTCTGACAGACCCAACCTCACGGTTCGGTTGGTAACCCCCGCGCCGGACCTTCGCTTCGACAATTCCCAGACTCGGCACCAGACCCATCGCGCACCCCAATTTCACACATTACCGTTACCACTGTAGCTTCGCTATATATGCTTCGCTCATGCCTTCGGTCATTGTACTGTTTTTTGCTTCGATAGTGCAATTCTCGCTCGCTCGCTCAATTGCACTCGTAACGCTAGGCTAGCCACTACATTAGCGTGTGCCTTCATTGTATTCTCAGTTCGAGTCCGATTCTGAAATTTCTCGAACACGCCTTGGTTTCAAACCACATTTTTCCCCGTCGATCCCATTCTCGATGTTCTCCTTCTCTCTTCCTCCTCCTAGCACATTTCTTCTCGATTCCTCTCCCGCTTCTCACGCCGTAGGCCGACTTCCACCACTTCACTCTAGAATAGTCCACACGCTTCCTTCGCCTTCATTCCACTGCGTAGAAGCTTTCGCCGTAGGTTTCGTGGTTGGGCGAACCAACCCTAACAATTCGTGATCGCCTGGTTTCGTTCATCGGACCCGATCTATGCGTCTGTGCCGGCGCAGCGGCGAACCCTTCTAGTGATGGGAATCGCTACATTCGACGACTCCAAAGCGCACAGAATGGGGGATGCTTCCCCCGCGGAGTCCGCCCCTGCGCCATGCGCTTCTTCCACCGACCGCAGCGCGCCGCTCGACGGGGCTGGGCCCCCCGCGGCGATGGCGGAAGCGGCGGAAGACTTGGCGGACCTACTAGTTCAGGTGCGTGGAAGAATCTTCAAACGGATTCCCGTAAATCTAGCAGATTTTACGTGCAAATTCTTCTCGTCTCCGTGTCCCCCTCGTCTCCCCGATTCCCCCCAACTACCCCTGCCCCCCATCCCGTAACGCGCTTTTGGCGTCCGTTTCGCCCTTTCCCCTCGTCCCCCTGGCATTGCATCTGCAAACCCCACCTCCCAGCTCCCCACTCCCACCTGTTTCCACCTTGTCTTCCCCTTGCCTCCTTCCATCTCCCCTCCCCACTCCCCTTCCCCCGGCAAACCGCCGTGCAGGGGGCGCGGTACGGGGACAAGGGTGACGTGGCAGCAGCAGGATTAAATTGTTGCAAAAAGCCCACCGTTCTCCCGTCCTCCCTTTGCCTCCCCCTTGTCCTCTTCCCCCGATCTCCCCTCTCTTCCCCCCCACGTGCAGGGGGCGCGGCACGGGGACCTGGAGTACGTGGCAGCAGAAACCCCACTGTTATCCGGTCCTCAATTTGTCTCCCCCTTGTCCTCCCTTTGTTCTCGATCTCCGCATTATCCCCCCCTGTCTCCTTCCCCGCTCATGTGCAGGGGGCGCGGTACGGGGACATAAAAGACGTGGCAGGAGCATTAGACGCTGCAGGAACCCCACCGTTGCCCTTTGTCTCCCCCTTGTCCTCCCCTTGTCTTCCCGTGATCTCCCCGCGATCTCCCCCCTCTCCTCCCCCCACGTGCAGGGAGCACGGTACGGGGACGTGGAGGACGTGGCAGCAGCACTGGACGGCGGTGCGGATGCTGGCTTGGCAGATGACGAGGGGCGCACAGGTGGGGGGGGAGTATGGGGAACGCGGGGCGCACAGGTGGGGGGGGGGTATGGGGAACGCGGGGCGCACAGGTGGGGGGGGAGTATGGGGAACGCGGGGCGCACAGGTGGGGGGGGAGTATGGGGAACGTGGGGCGCACAGGTGGGGGGGGAGTATGGGGAACGCGGGGCGCACAGGTGGGGGGAAGTATGGGGAACGCGGGGCGCACAGGTGGGGGGAAGTATGGGGAACGCTGGGCGCACAGGTGGGGGGAAGTATGGGGAACGCGGGGCGCACAGGTGGAGGGTGATGAGGGGCGCACAGGTGGGGCTTAAGGTTGCATGCGTGTGTCAGATCGGGGTTTTAGAGTCCGTGGTTCTGAGTCCAAAGGGCCAGGGCTTGGTGTGGAGATTTGACCCCAACCCCCTCTCCCCATCCGCCGCCCTCTCTCTTTCGTTGCTTACACAGCATGCCATAGTGCAGGGATGCACATGTCAGGGATGCACATGTCAGGGATGCACATGTCTCCACACGCAAAGTGGGGAGAAGGGGAGCTGGGGAAGAGAGTGGAAGGGAAGTGGCGTTCATTCTCTCCCTTTCTGTGTGTGCCGTGCCATGCATGCATGCTCACCACTGCATGCCGTCCCATACATACATACATGGTGCATGCTCACCACTGCATGCCGTCCCATACATACATACATGGAGCATGTGTGTGCAGCGCTGCACATGGCAGCAGCCAACGGCCACACGGAGATCGCCCGCCTGCTCATCCAACGAGGCGCTGTGAGTGTCTCTTGCATTGCCCATCCGCCTTGCCCACCCCCCTTCCCCCACCCGCCTTGCCCCACCCTTCTTCCCCCAAACCCCTTGCCACTCCGTCTCCCTCTCTGCGCCAAGCTGCCTGCCTATCTGAGTGGCGGCTACCTTTCAGCCTGGAAATGCCGTGATCCCGCAGGACAGCACGTACTGAGCTGCATGCACCCTTCCTTTCCGCTTACTTGTGTTGCTGCTCTCCTGCCCTGTCTCTATCTCTGCACGCCTTACGCCCTGCATCTCTTCCTGTCTATCCTGCACGCCTTACACCTTCCAATCCTGGCCCCATCCTGTACCCCTTGCACCCTGCACCCCTTGTACAGCCGGTGAATGCAGTGAACCGGCAGGGCAACACACCGCTGCACTGGGCGGCTGTCAATGGCAGGGACTCGGTAAGTGCAGGGGGGCGTTGTGGGTGTGGAAAGGAGTGCAGGGGGGCAATGTGGGTGTGGGGATGAGCGCAGGGGGGAATGGGAAGTGCTCTGTGAGTGCAAGTGGCAATAGGTCAGACTGTGTGAGGGGCAGGGGGGCGCAGGGGGCAGATGGGGCTGCAGCCAAATTGAAATAACTTTTGAGAATTCTCAAAAGGAAATTCATTGTGTTCTGCACCCCGACAACAGTGAAATCAATACCTTATTGTGTCCCCTGCCATGCATCATCACCATTGCACACCACGCTCCTTTCCATCCCACCCCATCAGATGGTGCATTTGCTCATTGCTGCAGGAGCGAGCCCCTCTGCGCTCAACAGGTAACCCACTTCCGCCCCTCACACTCCTCCTCACACCATCCTGCATCCAATGTCCACACACTCTGACTTTGCTACCTTCTTCCAATGTTACCATGTAGTCGTCTTGTGTCAATGGGGTAAACGTCCAATCATACCCCGGGCTGCGAGCACATGCAGAGCGTGACAGCCCTCCCACCTGCCGTTCTCCATTTCGTGTTCCCCCCACCTTCCTTTCGATTACCCCCGAACCGCAACCCTGATCCCAACCCCCATCCCGCCAGCCATGAGCGCACGCCAGTGGACGAGGCAATTCACAGCAACAACCTGCACACCCTGGACGCCATCAACGCCTCTCTTGCCACCTGCGCTTCTCAACTTTGTGCTTTGCCCACGTCCTTTCTCCCCACAAATTCTAATTCTCAAACCCCATTGCTCCAGCCATGAGCGCACACCAGTGGACGAGGCGATTCACAGCAACAACCAACACACCCTGGACGCTATTAATGCTGCCCTTGCCACCCGGGATGCTGCGAGCTTGACTGTAGGGGGCAGTCAAGGTGACGACACAAGGGGCGATGGGGATGGGGGAGATGAAGCAACGGATATCATGGAATGAAGGGTTTTCGTTGGTAAACTATCTGGTCGACAGAAAACCAGCACACCCTAGCCACCATCAACGCTACCCTTGCCACCCGGGTTGCCACGAGCTTGACTGTAGCGGGCAGTCGAGGGGAGCACACAGAGGTCAATGGGGGTAAGGGAGGTGCGGCAGAGAGGATGAGGGAGTGACTTGGCAAGGTCTTGACTAGTTTTTTAGTCGAGTCGGGATGCATTGCGCCCTATGCTGCGCTTGCTGCATGGGGTGCAGATTCTGACTGAAGCTGGCATCCAGTCCAAGGGTTGACGGGGATGGGGGAGGTGCGACAGCGGCAGAGATGATGGTGTGAAAGGGTTTCCATTCCATCGGGGTTCCTTCTTGGCAGTTTGGCGCTTGGAGCCGAGATTGTAAGAGACTGGATTTTGATGCGGCGATGCGGGTGCATGGAAAGCAGGTAACTCCCTGGTCAGTGGTGGAGGTGCTGTTCCTCCACCTCCAGGTGCTGCTCTTGGGCTAGCAGTCAGCCTGCCGCTGTACTATGCAGTCAGAGAAGGGGACGTCATAATTTTTATCAGATTTTGCCTAGCAAATGTGGGATGGTTTTTGGGTTTTGGGAGACCTGTGCACATACAGAGCGGTAGTTGAGATGGTCATTTTGTAAGCTGTACAGGCTATAGATTTGTTCGTGCCGTCCATTGATGAGTGTACGCACACTTTTCTTCTCTCGTGCTGCGAATTCCAGTCCACCAGCTAGCCTCCATCCTGCCCACTTTTCATGATCACATCTTCTGTCTACATTTTCCAAAGCAGTGCCCTTTTTTTCAAAGCACAGATCTAAGTGCGAAGTGGAGGCAGAGTCACATCTTTCCATGCAACTTGCTACAATTGAGCAGAGCAATGCTGTCTCCATTCCAAACATGTGTCTATGATTACCCTTCTCACAACTCAACATTCGCCATCACGCCGCTGTGCAAGCAAAGTGCACATACAGTATAAATGTGCCCTCTCGCATCCCCGCGCTACGGGTAATGCAGGGTGAGATCTACGGGTAGGTATATTTCTAGTGCACCCCAGTGCATGCTGTGCTACACCACAGCTTGGAGCTTCTTCAGCTTCTTAACATCAGGACACCATCACCATTGTCAATACTCATCTCCAACGTCCTCCTCTTCCATCCACCTTCACCTTCCGCACCTCCTCCTCCTCCTGCTGCAGCGTCTGGTGCTGTTATGCCCTCCACTGCAGCAGCGCCAGCAGTAGTGGCGGTGGCAACAGCCTCATGCTCTGCCACGAGTTGGTGAATGCGCTTGAACTGCCACAGCCATGCCACAGCCATGCCACGGCCATGCCACGGCCATGCCACGTCTGAGTTGACTCAACTGCCACGGCCATGCCATGTTGTACAGCAACTATCGCAGATCAAACCGGTTGTCCTCTGGTGAATAGTTCTCAACAGGGGGAGGCCGAGCACGTGAGCCGGGGAGCAGGGGAGTGGGGGAGGGGAGAGTGGGACCACCACTCGTACAGGAACTGCCTCAGATCAAAGCGGTTGTCCTTCGGGGAGTAATTCTGCCAAAGAGGTGGTGGGGGTGGGAGGGGGTGGTAGGAAGGGGAAAGGCAAGGAAGGTGGTGAGTGTGGCCATGGCTCGCTGTACAGGAACTGCCGGTGATCAAAGCGGTTGTTCTGAAAGTTCTAGAAGTGGAAAGGGAGAAGCGATGAGTGGGGGATTACGGGGGTGGAGGAGCAAGGAAGGTGGGGAGTGGGACAGCCACATGCTGCATGGGAACTGCCATGCTGCATGGGAACTGCCATAGGTCAATCCAGTTGTCCTCAGGAGAGTGGGTTCTGAGGAAAGCGGACAAGGTAGAAGATATCCGGTGGGCGGAGGCAAGGAAGGTGGGGAGTGTGGGCATGACATGTTGCATGCACAGCGACTGTCGCAGGTCAATGGAGTTATGCAGCGATCACTCCAGGGGGAGAAGTTATGCACGTAGTGGTGGGAGGCGGGGAGAGCAATACGCCAATCTGTTGCCGATGATTAATGAAATAGGAGGAGGTGAGGTTTCAGCGTGGATGTTGCCTTGCGAGAGATGCATTGTGAAAGTGGATAGGAGGATGGCAGTGAAAAAAGAGATGCCCCTTAGGGAACAAGGAATTGAGAGCTGAGGGTACGGGGGAGTGAGGGAGTGAGGGAGCACCTGGGCGTGGTAGGAGTGCGCGAGAAAGTGAACGTGTTGGGAGAGTGTGGGGTTTCCTCGGCATGGTAAGAAGGCGTGAGGGTGGTCATCTTGTGGTGGTGAAGATGCTTCGTCATACAATAACAAGAGATTCAGGGTTACATTAGGAAGGGGAGACGATGGTTACCTGGGCATGGTAGATAAGAGTGAGAAAACGGGTAGGTGAGTGAGTAGTCACCTCAGCGTGGTAGGAAGGTGTGAGCGTACTGCTGCAGTCGTACTGGTGGGACGAGAGGTGGGGGATGGGGCTAGGATAGGAATGAATGGATGGGAGAATGGGAGTGTTGTTGAGTTGAGGCGAAGTCAAGGTGGACTGCCGTAACGCAGCAAGCGAGGGAGGTCCGTCTTGCAAATGCCGCCAATGGGACTGATGTCGGCGCTAATGCAGTCGTACTGATGGGAGGAGGGTTGCGGGGGGGGGGGGGGGGGGGGGGGGGGGGGGGGGGGGGAGCAGTGGTTGGATGAAGGGATGGGAGCGGGAGAGTTGAGGCGAAGGCGAGGTGGAGTGGTGTCCAATGCAGCAAGCGAGGAACCGTAGTTCCGCCTTGCTGATTCCGCCCATGGGGTTGATGTCGGAATTGCTGCAGTCGTACTAGTGGGATGGGACCGGAGGGAGGAGACAGTGGTTTTAGAAGGGGTTGGTGGCTCGTGCCTTCCAACAAGTGCCGCGAGCCAGTAGCAGCGTGGTGATTCCACCGTGGAAGACGGGGTAAGAAAGAATCTCCTAGCGTAATTTGAGAGGGAGGTCGTCTCAGGGCATCCTCCGCATTGGCAGTGCCCAGCTTTAACTCATGTGGCAACAAGCAATGCAAACCGCTAACCTTACCCTGGTGAGCGAGACGGCCATGGCACAAGCATACGCACCTTAGTGAGGTCCCATCTCATAGCCTCGTCCCCATCGGCACTGCCCAGCACGAGCGGTCGAATTGGTGGATCAGGGATGGTGACTGTGATATGCCGTGCATGCTCCCTCTAGATTCACGCGTTAGTGAATGCCCCCCATCATCTCACCTTGGTGAGGTACCCTCCCAGAGCCTCATCCACGTTGGCATTGCCCAGCACGAGTAGGTGAAAGACAGACCTGTGCGGACTGGCAGCACTCCCTCTACTCAATCGCACCATACGATCAATGCACAACCACCATGCTCCCCCTCACCTTTGTGAGGTACCCTCGCAGGGCCTCGTCCACATTGGCACTGCCCAGCACGCAATGCTCCCTCTGCACTGCTTCACCTTCTTGAGCCATAAATCAGACATGTGTTAGAATGAGAGGAGTGTTTGACTAGGAAGAAGTGAGAGTACAAATAGAGTTGTGAACCCCCTATAGGCTAACCCACTACAGCCTACACAAATATAACAAGTATAATGTTTGACACACCCCCCTAGGCGAAGTGGGGGAGAGCAAGGGGTCACAAGACCAGTCAAAGAAAAGCAAAGCAAGGCAAAACAAGCTCAGGGTGGATCTCAAGGATACCACACAAATTCCGAGCACAAGCAAGCGGTCACAAGACCAGTTCACATGCAGTTTGATAATATAACAAGAGGTACAGTGATCACAACCTAGCAAGTGTAAGCATGCAGGTATATATATAGAGATCACAGTACAAGCAGAGTCAAGAAGTGAGCAAGTGAGGGAGAGTAGGCACAAGGCCTAGAACAGTACAGAAACGCTGATGGTCACAAGGCTAAAGTGCCTTGGTGAACACATCAACAGTGTTGGCCCGAGTGGCCACGTAACGCAGACGAAGCTGACCGTGCTGCTGCAGCTCTCGAGCAAGGAAGTAGCGCAGAGCGATATGCTTCGTTCTGTGCTCCAGTCTGTGCTCCTCACACAAGGCAATGGCAGCCTTGTTGTCGACGTACAGCACTGGAGGAGAACGAGGCCGCTCTCCCAAGTCGGTCAGCAGGTAGGTGAGCCAGCGTAGCTCCGGGGCCGCCATGGCTGTGGCGTAGATCTCAGCCTCACAAATGGAGCTGAGAACAGAAGAAGAGCGTGTAGAACGCCAAGAAACTGAACCAGAGCCAAGGCTGAAGGTGTAACCCTGAGACGACCGCTGAGTAGCCTGGTCGTCCGCCCAAGAAGCGTCTGAGTGCCCAGTGAGTACAACTCGGTCTCGCCCTCCAAGCACTAGCCCCATGCCCGACGTACTGCACAAGTAGCGCAACACCCTCTTAGCGGCATCCA